TCCCAGCAGTGACAAGAGTACGTCTGTTCGGAGCCGTACAACAGAGAATCTCGCTCGGATCCACCATTTCAAACACACATCGGGCTCGCTCGGAAGGGTCAAACGCACTGCCCAAACGTAGGCTTCCATCCGTGAAACCCCATGCCACGTACACAGAGTAGCTTGGAGGTAGCAAACATTTATTCTGTTCTACCGCAACGATAGGTCCTCCTGTCAAGATTGAACCACTGGCAACGACCGGGTTCGAAGCAACCAGAGTGTTTGTGGTTGATGCATCACCGAACACACCGCCTCCGCCTACACCACTGGAACCGAGGATGGGACCAACTGCACTAGCGGCAACGGATGATCCAGAACTCCCGGAAGCATTAGTTGAACTACCAGCACTGGCTCCAGATGGAACAAGGCTCGGATCCGGTTGCACAATGTGTCCAACAGCATGTTTTAATTCTAAATGGGAAAAGTGGTTCCAACAATGATTATCAGGTGACGCTGAATTAAGAACAGAACGTATCTGGGTCATAATAATAAGTAATTAAAATGATATCACAGGCCAATAACGATTGCGGCGGATATGCCTCAAAGAAAGGAACCAATTTTTGAAAAAAATTGATAATCCAAGTGATCACTATTCTGCTAAAAGCGTACGGATTGGGAAAACTGCATGGTGACAATTAATGGGAGTAGCTCTTGTTTATCGATTCGAAGATCCTAAACAGAGGGGGGTTTTAGAATGGAACTCAGAAGATCCCTCCAATCCAAAAGCGTTGTAAGCAACAGCGGCAGTTCTGAGAGTTTGACAAACGGGCTTAAGTTAATGCAGACAGAAGTTTTGAATAGGCATCCTCGGTAAACGATGCTTACCGATGCAGAAAAAGGTAATAGACAGAAGGCTAAGGCAGTGAAAACAAAACCTGGCATGCGGGTATGCAAGCCCTTAGCCAAGACCATTGATCATACTTTGTGTTTTTCGGTTGAGAACTTCAGGATAAGTTGAACAGATGGAGTGTCATCCTCACGTGCGGTCGCTCATTTTATGTGCTCTCGGTTTCAGTGGATTTTCTGTCAAAACTCGTCATACAATGTCGAGTCAGCACTCATTCGACTCAGTTCGGTGAGCTACATTGTGTGATATCACTCTCTTGGATATATACCTTACATGTATCACGTTTCCGCCGTTCGAAGTGAATGCTCTATCTCATTCACGCGTGTAAACGTTTTCAGGTTTCCACGCATTACCCTCATTGTGATATCATTCTGAGGGAAATTCTACGCTCTATCCAACGAGATTCTGTTCAGCTCTGTGATCATTTCTGAAAGAGCTACGGATATAATTTATGTTATTCAATTCTGTTCCGTTCTCCATCGCGTCCGCACGTGTGCTCTTCCATCCATCTCCAGTCGCAACGATCGATTCGCACTGGTTGCCCCGGTCACTGTCTTGCACGCGGACTTTTCTCACTGACGTGTGGTTCACTCAGTCACACCGACTTCGCTTCACTTGACCTTTGTCAACAATCTCCCATCTTGCCGTTCACACTGCATCGAAAATGGGTCGCCGAAGTTTATCGACGCAATTAGTTACATAAGGTTTGAGTGTGTGCGGCCCCACGGATTGCGGAAAAGAGGTCAAGAAGGGCATGGCATGCACACGCTGCCAGAAGTATTTTCACGCGGCATGTGCCAAACTATCGAACACGAAACCGATGCTCGCACAACAGGATTGTTTTTGGTTTTGCAGTGATTGCATGGAATCTCCGGTTATACATACATAATCGGCATTGAAAATAGGTTTGAGAAGACACCATTAGTTGCAGAGGAAATGGCTAATGTAAAAATTTCAGCATTAGAAGAAAAGATAACTACCCTGAGCTCCCAGATCCTCCCAGCGACCGACTAAGCGTCGTTCTTTAATCAGTGCCGCTGCAACGCAGTGCACAACCTCCGACTGAAATAAATATGGCTGCTATAGTAACGAATGATACCGAAACAGTTCCTGAGCAGAAAAAGATCGTCCTACAAACGAAACCTATTATATTCACACCAAGGCCTTCGATTGCGCGAAAAAGTAGGAGCAATACTGCCTTAACACTTATCTGCACAAATATATCTGAACTGACAAAACAACCACTGAGAGGTGCAGCTCATCTGTGGTCCATTATGAACGATATTGAATTCAATGTGCAAAGTGTAAGGTTTTATCTTTACGACACAAGGGGCGATTTCCGTATTTCCTCGGAAATGAATAACTGCCACATGCCACAAATGAGAAGGACCTGGGCATCATCGTTCGAGAAAACTTAAGCTGCTCACTCAGCTGTACTAAGGTGTTCAACGCAGCTGTAAAGAATGTCGGTTTGCTTAGGCGTATCATTGGCCGGTTTCAGTCAGCGCTTTTCCCCCGTCTACTATCAGCATACATTCGCCCACTCACAAAGTGCGCCATCCAGGCATGGAATCTATGGCTACAACGTGACTGCAAAATGCTGGAGCGTCCACAAAGGATGGCCACCAAAATGGTTAGCGGGTTGAAGCATTATTCATGCGCAGAGAGATTGAAGTCGCTAGGGCTATATTCCAATCACTACCAGCGCATCAGAGGCGATATGATTATGGTATAACAAATAATGCAAAACCTAAGCCATCCGTGTCGTCGACTGCTAAAATTATCACCCAACGTTCATCTTGGAGGACCCATTCAAAAGTGGTCTCAAAATGTCGATTGGAGTGCCGGCGTCAGTCATTCGCAATCAGAGTGTGTTCGACCTGGAACTCTCTCACACCCCACGTCATCTGTGCACCAAGCATTGAATTTTCAAACTGAGACTCAATGAAACATTAGGACACCTTTGCGTATACTGTTCCTAGTTTTCTACTCCTTCCTTCTATTCCGTCCCAACGGGCCGCCAGATTATATCAAACAAAACCAGCCCCGGAAAGTATAAAATTATTGGTTGTAAGCCCTCCATTCAACTAACCTGACGCTCGATGTGTCAACGGTCAACCTGAACATTTAAAGGCAAAATCAATCCCCTTTAATCCCTTTTATGTAAAACACTTAAAAAATGACCATAAAATGAGTTTCCATGACTGTTATAAATTTTCTCAGAAAATCAATCCGCTAATCCTAAGAAGTAAATGTTTGGCAGACCGCGAATTCATTCTTAAGTTAACTCTTGTGCTCAAGTGGCGTGGTACAGATCTCAAATAAACGGCGACCGTTCCAAACAGCACTCTTTGTATTGATTATCAGTGAGGATATATTGGAATCTTTCGCTCTTGGGAGTGTTCCAAAAATAAGTAAGGTCACTGAAGTCAATAGGATGTGGCAACATCTGGCTTAGGAACCAGCATGTTACCACAGAACAGTCCCTTCACTTGGTCCATACCAGTTATCGGACTCTCATTTTTGGTTCTACGAATTTTCCCGATTGTGGAACGGCAACAACTCGGTAATCGCTCGACAGACAGGCCAAATCAAGTTAGGGTAGTCAAGTTCCCCAAAACAGGATTAGTCGCTGCCCCACCCATGCATGTGAAATGAACCCAGCAGATTGGGTAGAGGAAATCATATTACTGACTAAACAAATAGAACGATAGTTTGAATTCAAGCGCACCAGAGCAGCATACCTGACGACTTGTAGGTCGTACATGGTTGTGTAAGAGCTCGAGGAGAACCCTCGGAAGAAAAGGAGGGTTATATTGGGGACGTCAGTTGTATAGAATTCCCATGAAAGTTCATCAAACCAGTTGGCACTTGGTCTCCCGCAACTCAGCCGAAGTAAATTAATAATTAAAGTCACAAATATTCGCCAGGGTTTATCAGAGAATGGGTTCTGTTTAATGACCAACTTCAAAAAAACTGTGGCGATTGTTCGGTCTGTTTCATTCAGCCAAAGACACGAGAAAGTGTCCTAGAAAAAAAAATATGAGGCATGGTGTGAACTGGACTGAGTTGAATACATTGTCGTGAACAGTGGCGTTCGTGCATCTCAATTTCTCTGCAAAATTAGTGCTATGAAATTCTAGATTTTCTCTTCGATCCTACTTTTCTTTCCTGTCTTTCTCCTAGCGCACGAAAGTGCACGGTTAATGGTTGCACAAACTGAAGTGAATGCATTGTCGGCTTATTTTAGTATATATAAGTATGCATATCTCCCCAGAGAGAGAGAGAGAGAGATGGAGAAAAGTAATGGGCTAAAAATTGGCTATCTCCATGTGCCCAACGTAACCAGCATATTAAATGTCCATGTACTGATAGTTTTTTTTATTTACTGCAGAATTAACCGACGTTTTTTCATAAAGATTTACGGGACTTCCCGTTACTTATCTTAGTTGACTGAGATAGAAATAGACAGCTACATTCCACAATTCACTTCTACCTGACGAAAGCCCACCCCCTCCCCATTCAATGAGCTGACGAATCCGTCGTTTTTATGTAAGCTACTTCCGTATTCCCCTGCCAATTGGTACTTCTGAACCATACATTTCCATTGCTAAGCAGGTTAGACAATTCAACATGTTTCGACATTACTACAATGGAATGAAAATCAGAAAATGCGTGGTGTGCTGTTAAACCGACCGACGCACACCTATGGAATGCTCTTATCGTTATCTACTCGATAGAGAAAAGAAAATTATTTTCTGGAATGGATGGCGAACCACATTTCAGGAATAAATAACTACAGAAAGTGTGAACATGATCCACTGAGTGATAAAGCCTGTGTCTGAGATATCGAAGCAATTTCAGTCTAGATTACGTACCTGATCGTCGTATCACAGTAGTCTCACACTTTCTCACGTCCCTAGGACCTCGAGTACAAACAGAGGGTCTCGTCTGACGTGTCACAGTTACCAAACTCGCCGATAAAGTACCGACCGCTAATATGCAGCAATATTCGGCGAATGATTGTTTGACGAGAATATTCTACCTTCCCAACCCAACAGTATTCTGAAGTAACATTCCCTTCAAAGGATGTAAAGAAGAATAATCTTACGTACTATGCAAACAGAAAATTACCTTTGATTGGCTGCATGTGTGGTCGAAGACAATCAAGATTACGATAGAATAGATCCACAGCAAGTTGACTACCGGAATTACGCCGTCCATTTGCATTCATGTACAGCGCTGCAGTGAGTGCCGGAGCACGTGGAATAGCCACACGGCGACTTGGATGGGGTTTGCGGAACAACTGCTTGGGAATTTGACCGAAATTATTGATGAAGCCAATCACAGCCGAGCGTCGAAGGGGGTCGTCGATTGAGTATATGTCAACGTTACCCTCGTAGAACAGGTGGTGAAATACGTTACAGGCCTGCACGGCACTATCACCTTGTTGCTTGTAGCCAAAGATTAGATCTATCCACTCGTGGAGATGAGCTGAGACGTACTCGCTTTCCAAAGCCTAAAGATAACATTATATTGTGCGTTAGTTTGATGAGAATTTCATACAAGGAACGAAATAGTCAAGTCAAGTCAAGTTTCAAGTCAGAATTGGCATCAGCCAGCTAAAGATGGGCAAATTTGTAGCATTTTACACCATATATGTGGATGAAAAGTTATATCAGAGGGAAACAAATTAAAATAATGGGATACAGACTTTTCAATGAAGCAAGCAATTGCGCAGATTCGTGGAACATGTGATACTCTGTGTGATTCGTATACCCAGCGAGTAACAGAGCCAACAACTAAACAATAGTTCGTTTGCAACTGTCAAGCGCATACTTTGGATACACTCTGACATACATAAGTTGGAAAATAAGAGTGTTTCCAATGCTTCACTGGATGAATAATCACAACGAATCATTATTCAAGGAGAAAACAGCTGTGAAAGGACATACGAAAATAATTTTTGGGGATACGGTGTCATGCAAAGTGAGTTTACCAAAAAGATGAAATCAGTTGGCTAGCCTTGTTAATTAATTGTTTCCATATTCTCCTTTCGATCGTTTTTCCCTGTATCCTGAAGATGTGCTAGGGATCGCAACTAGATAAACCATTCTGAACAAGTTCACCTTCTGTCCTGCGTTTATTTTGGGGAAGGAGGTTAAGAAAAGTTAAAATTAATCGAATCCCATTGAGGCTACTGAACTTTTCACAATCGACATACAAACTTCAAATCTGCGAAACAACTATTTAAAACAATTGTTCCATGAATAATGAACCCCAATTGTGGCGCGTTTGAAAAAAATGAAATATATATATATATATATATGTTGACAATTTCACTGCCTTATGTGCTCCATTCCGCTCTAAAAGAACTTTATTTTGTGGGAGAGACAGTAAGGGAAACGAGACCGAAATGTCAGAAAGCCATGAACAGTTTTTCAATCATTCTCATTACACACCTTTGTGTAAGGTAAGCCGCACCAAGTGTTTGGACGGCATCGAAAGTATGCGGCCTACGGAGTTCTAAGAAAGAAGTTAAAATGGGGATATTTTGCACACACTGCCTCAAACACTTTCACCTTTCATGGGCCAAACTCTTGGTAAAAAAGGCAAAACAGTTAGCCACTCAGCCAGAACGTATATGGTTCTGTACAGAACGTGCGGAAATCCCGACTGTAAAATGCATCACTTGTATCATACACAAGTACGAGAAGCTATTGTCAGGAGCCGAAGAAAGAGCGAATTTAAAAATCGCCACACTTGAGGCAAAAATAGCGGACTTCAGTTCACGGATCACACCAGCTAGCCCAATCCGGCAACTCAGCAAACGACCAAAATGCCCGACACAAGTGGTCATCCCACGGCAGGGGACGCACACGGCTGAACTGAGCGCGACGAAAAAAGCAACAGTAGAAGCACCTGCTACCTCGGAACCCACACACACAGTGGCTTCCCTTATCTGCTTCTTCAAAGATAACACCTCTGCCTGCCAGAAAACTCTCTAACTCCCATAACGCAGGCCACTGTTGTAAAAGTTGCCCCTTCGTATGCAGATGTCATTTCCAATCCACTTAGAAAAGCAGCTCCTGCAGCTGCATCGCAGCAATTACCCGAAAAAAGGGCAGGGATATCGTCTGCTGCATCGCCCTCACGGACAGACTCGATTTCTTCGTCCACGACATCCAGGCACGGTGCGAGTAACATGTCACGGACAGTTGAGAGGTGCCCCCGCGATTCGCAGGAACCTATGCAGCAGAGGAAACTCCCTCCGAGATTTCAGTGCCTTATTGTTGTCAATCTTCTGGAGACCGAGGCCACCACTACCCAGGCTCGCCTGGACCACGATCTGCAGCTGCTGAGGTCGCAAACGGCTACCTTATTTGATGGCGACGAGGTGGAACCAACGGCATCGATCAGAGTAAAAGCTGCAGGATAATTCTCCACGACCACTGAAAGTGATTCTTCGAGCAGAAAGCGAGGCCAAAGCGATACTCCAGCGGACCCACAAGCTGAAAGGAACTCTGGTGCGATTCCTCAGGGATCTTGATCGCGACCGGTGCAGTAAATTGAAAACTGCATTAGAAGAACTCAGGGAGCGCCGTGCAAAAGGGGGAAACTGATCTGTATATACAGGATTTTCGTGTGCATCGGAAGCGCCCTCAGTTGCGTTGGCTGCCTTTGGTCGGGAGGAGGACCCAGGAGATTGTTTAACCACTGACGGGGGGATTAGCTTGAGGCGTGAATGGCGAGGTAACCACGCTGTTCTAGCCTCAACCAATACCCGATGGATGCTGGGAAGAAGGGATGAGCTGTAGGACTGGGTTGTATACCACAATCCCGATCTTTTTGTAATCACTGAGACCTGGCTGACACCGGATGTCCGGGACTCCGAAGTATCACTCCACGGATACACAGTGTTTCGATCGGATCGATCACCGTCACGTTGCGGTGGTGGAGTTGTTCTTTTTGTCCGCTCGGGTCTCCCTGTTCGAGTG